GAAGGGCCTCCGTGCTCCCTGGCTCTGGTCCCTCATCCTTCTCAGCACCGGCTGGTCCTCGTTGTCGGGCTGTCAGTTGATCCACCTGCTGAAGGGCCCGTGGCTGCTCAGGGCCTGGCAGGACGAGAAAAGCCGCGGTCGCCTCGGCGGGGTTCTGTGTGGACACGTTCCCAGCTCACTCGCCAGCTCCCGGGAGCGTGGGTGCTAGACCGGACGGTACGAGTGTTCAGTTTTGTAAGAAGCCGCCAGCCGCCCTCCCGCGTGGCTGCCCACGCTGCCCTCCCGCGCGGGAAGTGGGGGGTGTGGACTCCCACGGCCACGTGCTCCCGGTAGTCAGGGAGTGATCTGGGTTTTGGCCGTTGGGATAGGCGGGCAGTGGTGTCCCGTGGTTTAATTGCAGTTCCCTGGTGACACACGATGCCAGGCATGTTTTCATGTGCTTGTTTGCCGTCTGTTTTGGTGTGTGTGTTAGGTGCCTGTGTGGGCCTTTTGCCGAGTTTTTGGGTGGTTTTGTTGAGATTATGTTTTTATACCGGTTCCTTATCAGGTTGTGGGTTTTGTAGATAGTTTCTCGAGGCTGCGGCTTGTCTCCTCATTCTCTTGACAGTCAGATACTTCCCTAACCTCAAGGCGAAAAGTTTGAAACTGGGAAAGGGAGACCCAAAGCAGAGATCGCGGGCTGATGGCTAACGACTGGGTCAGAGCTGCACCGGACGGTTTGCTGGACCGTTTATCTTGTTCAGCTCATCTTTCGAAGTTTATGTCAGAATTTTAAAATAAAATGATACCACAAGAGGAAGGGGCGCGTGCAGCACTGGGTGCACATTCCGACGCAGGTGGCATTAAGTGGAAGCACCTCCTGTAGGTGAGGTGTGGGCCTTGCAGGTTACCGCCCCCACACTCCCTAATGCACCCCGCTCCGCAGGGCAGGTGAGCTGCCCTTTCCTGTTACCAGTACATTCGTTTACCACGGCCCTCTGTTCCTTTTCGCAGAGTCATAGGCATAAGTCCATGCAAATAAACCATCTGTACACATTGAAAAACTTCACACGGTGGAAAGACTGACAGGAAAGGGTATTTGCCATATGTCTCTATGACAAAAGGTTAATACCCACCTATATATATAAAAGCCTAAGCAACCTTACAACCGAATGCCTGGAATGACCGGTCGACCAGTTGCTATGTCGTGCACTGACCACCAGGAGCAGATGCTTAGTGTAGGAGCTGCCCCCTGGTGGTAGTGTGCTCCCACAGCCAACCTCCCATGGCCAGCCAACCTTCCCTGGTCCCTTCCCATGGCCACCCAATCTCCTGTGATCCCTCCCCCTTGCC